TCAGCCTCGTTTTCAGAACTACCTAAGTGTAACCTCAGTTGTTCCTGGAATCTACTGTTGGCTTTTTCATCGTTGAGTTTAACTCTAATGTATCTTAATGTGGCTTTTCTGCGTCCAATGAGGCTCAAGCATATGTGTGCCCGTGTTAGAGCATGATCAGAGCCCAAGCAGGTATTCCAGAATAAGCGACAATCTTTTTTCGGGCCTCTCTAACGATGACTGATGGCTATATGGTCTATTTGAGTCCATCGTCTGTTTGGTGCAGGAGGTCGCCATGTTAGACGATGTCTCTCCTCATGCTTAAAATTAGAGCTTGCCAAAAGTAAACAATTATCTGCTCACAGTTGCAGCAGACGGTCACCATTATCTGTTCATTGAACCAGAATACCAAAATACCCACTTAAATATCTTTCTGTTGGGTTTGAGATACCTAGCTGGGCATTAAAGTCACCTGCTACGAGCACTATGTTTGAGAGTTTAACTTTTTGAAAAAGCCCAGAAAGCTTTCTGTAAAAGTCATCCTTCACTTCATCCAGGTTGCAGTCAGTGAGAGCATAGGCAGAAATGACGAGAAGTCAACTATGTGTGTCCCTATCCTTCCGAGTTCTTATGGAGCTGTTTAGTCGAACAGCACATAGGCGACTGTTAACGGGCATCTACTCTATTAGTGCTCGTTCTGCCCTCGTACTTAGTGCTATACCTACACCCGCCAGTCCACGAGAACTAGCCATCGGGTCGCCAGATACACGGAGGGTGTATCTCGTCGGCTTCTGGTTTTGGCTAGATTTATTTATTTGAACACATAAACATCGGTAAAAGGGGACACCAAATACCTGAGTTAGTACTTCGCGCACTATAATCGTTGGCCATGGTGACACTTGAAGAGGAAGTCTACAGTTGATAGTCTAGGCAGGGGGAATAATAGGAATTAAAGAGGAAGATTGATTATGAATACAGTGATCTTGAGTGCTGTTGGAAGTATGGGGGTGGCTATCACTTTTCGGTTGCCCGCACCGTGGAGGGGTTCTTCTAAAGGTATCTGAAAAGGAAATGGGATTAGAGTTGGTCTTCGTGACTGCAGTGCCAAAGAGACAACTGCTTGAGGCCGGTCACACCCGCCCTTTTTGTGGGTAATTTTTATGTCAGTTCCTTACTTGTTGAAACCTTACAGCCGGAGACAAATATCCGTGGCATAAGGCGAGGTGTGCACTTTTAGGGTCGACCTTTTCTAACCTCACCCTTCCTTTGCGGGATGTCAGCATCGCTGTTATGCTGGTTGTTTGAAGGAAACACCTTACTGTCGCATCTCTGTACAGTCAGTCAGCTGCAACGTAGGACCAGGCACGTATATGCATCGGTCCAAGTTGCCATACCGCATTAGCACAACAAGATGAACACCGGATTCATAGAAGTAGTTAATTCAGTGGTGGTAATATATAGAAGAAAGAGTGTGTATAAGGAGATAGTACAGGAAGATAGAATTAGTTCCTAGAAAGAAAGATTTGAAGTGATTTTAATCTCTTAGTTTAAAGGAAGACAGAGAGTGTATACATCGACGCCATTGTGATCGATTCTGAGCCATGTCACCAAGAGTCTCCAACCATTGGTTACGATAGTCACGCGGACCCCAACCAAGTAGTCTGCATCTACCAACATGGCTCAGACCAGAAGTTAGTGACTTCAAGGACTGATGCCACGTTTTGGTTTGGTCGCCCCTAACTTTCTTCCAATCATCCCTAACACCGGTTAGCATTGCGCGTCGTGGTAATCGGTGTTCAGGCATACGCAGCACGTGGCCCAACCATCTCAGTCGATGAAGATTCATAACCTCATCAACTGATCTACCATCATTCCCTAATACCCTGCGTCTAACTTCACTATTACCTACCCGGTGATCCCAGCAGATACCAGCAATATTTCTAAGGCACCTGTGGTCAAATACTAGTAACTTACGAATATCTTCTACTCTTAAAGGCCATGTTTCGCAGCCGTAAAGTAGAAAGGAACGAACTGCCGTGCAGTATACTCGTCCCTTAATTGATAGACGGATATCTCGCCTTCTCCATAGATGACGTAAGGTGGCGAAAGCCAAAAGAGCTTTTCGAATCCATGCCGAGATTTCGTCAGACACCAACCCATTAGGGCTGATCAGACTCCCAACATAAGTGAAGTTGTCGACGCGTTCGACTACTTCACCCCCTATCCTTAGTTCAGGTGTTGATGCAGACCAGTCCTGAAGCAACAAGTTGCATTTAGAGGGATAGAAGCGCATCCCAAACATTCTGGCATTGTTGCTCAGTGCTACCAGAAGACTGCATTTTATCAACGTCTTCACCAAACAGGACTATGTCATCTGCCTATTCTAAGCCGGTAAGTAGTCATCCTGATAGGAGATCAAGGCCCGAAAATTCAGTTGGTGGGAAAGTTATTCCAAGCAGTAGGTCTGATGAAATTGAATAAAAATGGAGATAGTGGACAACCTTATTGGACACCACTTGAGGTTGCGAAAGCAGATGACAGTTCGCCATAAGCTCTGACTCGACTAGTAATGTTCGAATAAAGAGCCTTCACAAAGTTTATTTACTTCTGAGGTACGCCTTTCAATGACCGATACTGCCACAGAATCTCGCAGTCTACGGAGTCAAACGTTGCTTTTAAGTCAAGAAAGACCACTATTGTTGGACGCCGACAAGCATGCCTGTGTTCTAGAACCTGACGAATGGTGAATATGTGGTCGATGCAGCCACGACCAGGTCTGAAGCCAGCCTGATTTTCTTGTGTTTGCAGTTCATGAGTCTTAGGCGTCCGATAATTATTAATGCTAGTATTTTAAATGCTATGTTAGTTAAACTAATCCCTCTATGGTCATCACAGGATGATTTTGACCCCTTCTTAAATATTGGGACGATAAGTGATTGTGACCAGTTAGATGGGATGACGTCTAACTCCCAGATTTTAGCTAAAATATTAATTAACCTAATCGCTAAAACTAGACCACCATCCTTAAAGACCTCTGGAGCCAATCCATCTGGACCAGCTGCCCTTCCTCGTTTCAGATTAGCTATAGCCTTGTGAACTTCAGCTAGAGTTGGGGGACCTACTTCAATGTTCCATTCATACTGTCTGGGAATAGGGGGTAGTTTTAGAGTAGCTGGAGGCCAACTGAACTGCTCCTTAAAATGTTTCGCCGATCGTTCTAAACGTCTGGACTGGGAGCAGATGAGAGTGTCGTCTTTTTCCGAAATAGTTTGACGTACACTTGATTTATTAATTCCAGTTTCTTTTATTAGTCTGTAGAGTTGTCTTGTGTTCCCTATAGCTGCCGCCTTTTCCATCTCTTTTGCTTTCGTTGCCCACCACTGCTCACGATCGTTCCTTAGACTTTTGCTTAACCTAGATCTGATTTGTTTACGCTCTTCATCGTGTTCAGAACCTGATGGGATGAGTTTACGAGAATTTATCAGTGCAATAGACCTTGAAGAAATCCATTGGTTCTTTGTAACCCTGTGGTTTAAATCACTAATAGATGTCACTGCTGTTTCCACAGCCGCTTGTATGTCTTTCAAATCAACATCGGGGTCAGCCTCGTTTTCAGAACTACCTAAGTGTGACCTCAGTTGAGCGACAATCTTCTATTGACCCTCTCCAACGATGACTGATGGCAATATGGTCTATTTGAGTGCATCGTTGGTTTGGTGCAGGGGGTCGCCATGTTAGACGATCTCTCCTTATGCTTAAAATTTCTGTTTGCTAAAAATAAATGATTGTCTGGGCAAAGTTGCAGCAGACGATCACCATTATCTGTTCTCTGTGCCGGAATACTAAAATACCCACTTAAACATCTTTCTGTTTGATGTAAGCTACCTACCTGGGCATTAAAGTCGCCTGCTACGAGTACTACGTCTGAACGTTTAGCTTTCTGAAGAAGTTCAGACAGCTTTCTGTAAAATTCATCTTTCACTTCATCCGAACTGCAGTCAGTGGGAGCGTAGGCGTTCTTCAACCAAACTTTTTGGCATGGTAGAACCTTGAGGAATGATTGTTCTAGCCAGTTTAGCGCGGTTGGTTAATCCTGATATGCAAGCCCGACCACCACGGTCGGGATGTAATTGGGTAACCTCATGCGCGATGTTGACGTTAGACCTACCAAGAGCCTTGAGCATGGAAAGTAGGTCAGCCGATGAGGTTTCGAACCTGCGGTCATTTAGATAATCAAACCATTCACCAGTGTATGTCGAACCACTTTTATTTTGAGATCCGTAATATTGGTTCCGGAAGACTATTGATACCTCTTGGCTTTTACATGTTGAGTTTAAAAAAACGGGTTTCTCGAATATGTGACCTATCACTTGGAACTAGCGATTAATTTACTAGAGAACAACTCCACTTCTATTATGTATCTAATATTATGTATTTATGTTTCATTATTGATAGCTAAATACCCCACACTTAGGTTCACATTTGTATTTCAAGTCGCTATTTAAATTCTAGCAAAATCGGACTTCGATAACCTTCAATCATATTTCATTTTGCGAAATCATAGATTACATCGTAAAAACTGGGGAATGGTTTTCGGCTCATGCTTAGGATCTGCGGCAGTGAAAACTCTTCGACCTGTTGGATTTCATGTATATTTTCGGAGGTACCTACTTATCTCATCCAAATCAGCAGCAGTATCCGTCCCAGTCAGTCAAGCAACAACTCAGGCCGCATCAATTGTTGGTCGATGGCTCTTGGGTCTTTCTGGCATGACTTTTGGTGCTATTTTGCTTGGTGGAGTTACAAGGTTCTCATTATTTCTATTCGTAAACTATTTACTTCAGATTAACCGAGTCTGGACTCTCAATGGTTGACTGGCATCCCTTTAAGGAGGTGCCTCCTTTTAGTGAAGAACATTGGCGACTAGAATTCGAAAAATACAAGAAGTTTCCAGAACATGAACAGCAAGTTTAGATTTATTTATCTACGTCCTGTTCAGTTATGTAAAGGAGCGTGGCGAAATGTCAATCACTCAATTCAAATTTATATGGTATATGGAATTTATTCACCGAATGTGGGGTCGGACGATCGGTGCTGCTTTTGTTTTCCCAGCAATCTATTTTTTCTACAGAGGTTATTTCTCTTCCGTCATGAAATCTCGCGTTTTTATTTATGGGGGACTAATTGGATTTCAGGTAGTAATTTACTTGTTACCTTGTTATTATATAATTTGGAAGATCTCTGAAATATGTTATGCCCTACAAGCACGTACCCCTAGTTGAGTTTTCATAGGTATGAAAGTAATAAGTGTAAACTCAATGTCTTTGTTTTTTATTGACTGCTCCCATCTATTAAGGAAATACATTTTCGTACATCCCGTAGAGTAAGGTTTAGTCTATCGTAAATAAAATTTAAAAACCGAATTTTTGTTTTGAGTTGTTTGTAGCGACCTAACAATGTTATTTTTATAATTGTTTTTATATGGGTCATTGTTACCACGAAAAAAAGAATAGAATCTTGCTACTTGTTTTTAAATAACTTATCTTTGCTGAACGTAATTTTTTACACCTGTTTCCCCTCATGGAGGAGTATAGACCGCTCACCAGCTTTCTCTATTCAACTCTGTCCTGGGCAATCCTTTCCAGTTGTTATTCATCCTATTCATGTCTGCTTCCAGTTCTCGGCACAGTGTTCTTTGGCCTTCCTCTTTTCCGTTCCCCTTCAGGATTCCAAGTTAGCGCTTGCTTCATGATGCAGTTTAATAATTTCCTCAATGTGTGTCCTATCCAGTCAGTCAGTCAGTCAGTCAGTCAGTCAGTCAGTCAGTCAGTCAGTCAGTCAGTCAGTCAGTCAGTCAGTCAGTCAGTCAGTCAGTCAGTCAGTCAGTCAGTCAGCTACAACGTAAGACCAGGTACATATATGCATCGGTCCAAGTTGCCATACCGCATTAGCACAATAAGACGAACACCAAATTCATCGAAGTGGTTATTTCAATTGTGAAAATATATAAAAGAATGATTGCATATAAGGACATAATACAGGAAGAAAGAATTAGTTCTTAGGAAAAAATGTAAAGCAATTTTAATTTCACCGTTTAAGGGAAAACAGAGAGTATATACACCTATGCCACTGTGATCGATTCTGAGCCATGTCACCAAGAATCTCCGACCATTGGTTACGATAATCACGCGGATCCTAACCAAGTAGTCTGCATCTACCAACATGGCTCAGACCAGAAGTTAGTGACTTCAAGGACTGATGCCACGTTTTGGTTTGGCCGCCCCTAACTTTCTTCCAGCCATCCTCAACACTGGAATATGGCTGAAAACTGGCTGTTACTGATGGTATCCAACCAACGAACATTGAGTATCTTGCGTAGACAATTATTCATAAATACTTGTACCTTTTTAATGTTGGTTTCATCTCCACACAGTAGAACTGTCTTGAAATTCGTATTGAAGATCTTATCTTTGATGTTGGCTGACAGTTGTTTCGGGTCCCTTTGCCAATCCCTTGCCTTCACATCTGCATCAGATGCTCCTTGTTCATCGATGTGCTGCACAGATACATGGATGTTTCCACCTCTACCAGAGTTTCTCCATCAAGTGTGATTGGCTTAGTGTTCTCTGCGTTGTATCTGAGGCGCATACATATTTGGTGCCCCCCTGTACCAATATTTATGTGTTCAAATAAATAAATAAATCTGAGGATTTTGCTTTTTTCCTTGTGTATGTTGAGGCCTACTGATGTAGAGGCTTATTGTACACTGTTTTTCTTGACCTGCAATTTTTAGTGTGTGTAGTTTAGAATAGCTGTGTTATCTGCAAAGTTCAAATCGTTTAGTTACATCCAAGCTGTTCGTTGTATCCCGTGCTTCCCCTCAGATGTGGAGGTCTTCATAATCCAGTCAACCACCAGAAGAAAGAGGAAAGGAGAGGATAGACAGCCTTGTCTGACTCCGGTCCTTATTTGGAATGCATCTGTCAGCTGTCCTCCATGCACTGTAGTCCGTCGTATGAATTCCGGATAATGTTGGCAATCTTCTCAGGAACTCCATAGTGTCGAAGAAGATTCCATAATGTCCACCTACCTAGGCTGTCAAATGTTTTATCATAGTCAAGGAAGTTGATGTATAGTGACTAGCTCCATTCAACTGATTCTTCAACGATGATCTTTGGTGTCGCAATTTCGTCTGTGCACAACCGATCCTTACGGAATCCCGCCTGTTGATCTCGAAGTTGGACGTCTACTGAATTTTTTATCTGGTTTAGTAATACTTTGTTGAAAACTTATCCTGATACCTATAGTAGGGTGATGCCTCTGTAGTTTTCACATTTGCTCAAATCTCCTTTCTTTGGTATCTTGATGAGGCATCCTTCTTTCCAATCCGTCGGTACTTATTCTTTCTCCCAAATCTTCCTGAGTAGAACATGAGACATGCTTGCAGTTACTTCTGTCTGACTTAAGTGCTTCTGCTGGTATATTGTCAGATCCTGCTGCTTTCCCACTCTTGATATGTCTGATGACGGGCCAACCTGATTTCTTCGATTGTTGATGGAGAGCCAGCTATAGGAAAGTTTATGTCTGCTGCTTCGATGTCAGGTGGGTCCGGTCTATTCAAGAATTCTTTATAGTGTTCTTTCCACCCTTTCCCCTGTTCTCGAATTACAGTGATTGTCTTGTTTCCTTTGTCTTTGACTAATCTCTAATTTACTATAGTTCCCTGCTCGCTTCGTCGTATCATACAGTTGTTTCATATTTCCTTCTCTTGGAGCTTTCTCCGCCGTCGTTGCTAGTTCTTCCACGTATTTCTGCTTGTCGGCTCTAATGCCCCTCTTCACTTGCTTGTTTGCTTCTATGTACTCAGCTTGTGCTTGGACTTTCTCTGCTCTTGTTCGGCTGTTGTAAATTGCTGTCTTCTTGTTCTTCATTTCTTTGATCCTGTCCAGTGTTTCTATCGAGATCCATTCCTTGTGATGATGCTTCTTGAAGCCCAGAACCTCTTGACACGTTGAAGTTAATGCTTCTTTTATACCTTTCCAGTTATCCTCCATAGTAGTTTCTTCTTCCTTCAGCAGATCCTGTAAGGCTTGGAACCTGTTGTTGAGAGCTATTATTGAGTTTGTTAGTATCTCGAAGGAAGGCTGTATTGAACCTTTGTAGTGCTGTTTGTCCAGTTGGCCACAACTAGGTGCTGATCTGAAGCTATGTCCGCTCCTCTCCTAGTTCTCACATCTTCCATTGTCCTTCGGAACTTTTTATTGATGCAAATATGATCTATCTGGTTCTCTGTCGTGTGGTCCGGTGAGATCCATGTAGCTTTGTGTATGTGTTTGTGTGGAAATATTGTGCCGCCTATGACCAATTTGTTGAATACACATGGATTTGCAAATCTCCCGCCATTTTCGTTCCTTTTTCTTAGTCCGTGTGTCCCATAATATCTTCATATCCAGTATTGCCCATTCCGACTTTGGCGTTTAGATCTCCCATCAGAATGGTGAGGTCTTTTCTTGGGCACTATGATTGATTGCAGCCTCTCATAGAATTGATCTTTAATGTCATCGTTGCTATCATTGGTGGGTGTATAACACTGGATAACATTCATTGTAATTCCCTCCTTCTTTGTTTTGAATGATGCTTGGGTCCATGAGATTCCCATCCTATAAGTGCATTTCGTGCTACTTTGGACAGCATTAGAGCAACTCCCTGAGTGTGTGGAGCATTTTCCTCTTCGTGACCGGAGTATAGCAGCATCTCTCCCGTATCTAGCTTTTGTCGTCCAGCTTGTGTCCAATGGGTTTCGCTGATTCCCAGTACTGCCAATTTGTATCTTCTCATTTCCGTTGCTATTTGACTGGTCCTCCCGGTCTCCCACATTGTCCGGACGTTCCATGTGTCTATAAAAAATGGTTGCTCTGATTGTTGGAAGGGACATCGGCCTCGTCCCGACCGTAGCTGCTACCTTGACGTGGTGGTCGGGCTTGCCTATCGTGATGACTTAACCGAGCTATATTAGCTAGAACATATGTTCCTGTAGGTTCTACCATGCCAGGCAGGTTGATTGGAGAACGGTAAGACTAAAAGCAGCAACTCAAAGTCTGAGGGCTAAATCGTACTGCGTCTCCGAAACGCACATACAGGATCCGAGTAGTGTCATTCATTTGACCTCACCATGTCAAAGTAACGAACCAACTCGGTTTACACTTCGTGTATCTGGAAGCCCCGATGCTGCCTCCCGTGGCCTCGCTGGTGCAGGTATAGAATTGAGTCCTAGGGCAGAACTAGCTCTCTTAGACTGGATCCCAGTAGACAGTCGTTTGTGCGCTGTCCGACTAAACGGAACAGTAAGCACTCGGAAAGATAGGGACACTCGTCGTTGCCTCTTCATCGTCTCTGCCTACTCTCCCACTAACTGTAGCTCAGATAATGTGTAAGATGAGTTTTACAGAAAGCTTTCCGACCTTCTCCGAAAGGCTAGGCGCTCTGATGTAGTAATAGTGGCTGGTGACTTTAATGCTCAAGTAGGTAAACTAAGCGAAAGGGAAAGACATCTGGATAGATCTTATGGTGTCGCGGCTCAAAGAACAGATAATGGCGACCGTTTGTTGCAGCTATGCTCAGATAACCGCCTGTTTCTTGCAAACACTAACTTTAAGCATAAGGAAAAACATCTCTTGACACGGCGACCCCCTAATTCGTCCCAACGTTGGACCCAAATAGATCACATCGCTATCAGCCACCGATGGAGGGGCTCGATAGGAGACTGTCGCGTATTCTGGAGCACATGCTTAGACTCAGATCATGCTCTAGTGCGAGCGCGTATTTGTCTGGGTCTTACTGGACGTAGGAAAGATGGTGCAAGGAAACCTCTTAGGGTCCTACTTAATGATAGTCAAGCTAAGAGTATATTTCAGGAACAACTAGAAAAACAGTTAGGCAGCCATGTAAGTGATGCCCACGCCGAGGCAGAGTGGAATGAACTGTTAAAAAGTTTACAGTCCGAGTCATATCTAAACGTTCAGATACGCAATATATATGCTCATTCACCGGCGTTCAATGCTAGTTGATGTAAGAGTAGGTTGGAGAAGTTAAAGGCAGCCAAACAAAGATTTATTCAGTCCATGAAAACACTGACTGTTGGACTGGGTAGGTGTAGACTACCTAGTTGACGTTCGCGTGATTATCGCAACCAGTTGTTAGAGACTTTGGATGGCATGACTCAGAATCGTTCTCAGTGTTGGAGGTCCATTCACTCTTTCTCTCCCCTTAGATCCTAAGTTTCTAAATTCCTCACAAATTTTTATTATTTCACGTATTTATATTTTTCTCGAACTGTATCTTCAATTGCTAAGATTTTGCATTACCATTAATACTGTTACTACGTCTACTACTTTGGGATTTGGCCTAATAATCTCTTCTCACTGTGTTAATGGGGTATATCAACTCGAACCGATATACATGTGGCAGTTTCCACAGTTCATTTGACTGACTGACCGAAACGTTGCTACTCCCTTAAGTCCGATAAAACCTAATAAACAGTATTATTATTACTATTTTCTGAAATTCATGAATAACTGCAATTGAACAAGTGCTGAAAAAACACTTGTAGTCCCTCACATTCATTTCGAGTTGACGCAGACAAATTTTGTAAGATACAGACAGCCGGTCTTACTTGTCAAGTACTGTTCAAACTCTATCGAGATGGTGAATAAGCCGAAAAATGTTTATAATTTGTGATAAGTGGGTCACCAATGTTATATGTCTAGTTAGTGGTTCCAAAGCGTTTGTTTTCATCATATATCATTCACTGAAACCAACCTCGCTGGTTCACACTTGATAGTCCAGGAATTACCTTACTGATCATGATATTGATCACTTCAGTAGTATTTTTTAACAACTTTGGCTTCCATTCCATTAAATAAGTTATGTCAAGTTTTGTCATAGTTTTGCCACCAAAATTTGATTAGAAGATTATATTATTCAGATAGTAAAATATGCTTCAGTTATAAACTTATAACATGTTACTTGCGGTTTCGGTTTGATAACATTAAATATTAGAATTAAGCGATGTTGCTGAACACTCTAAAATTTGGTTTTTCATGCTTATTATGACGTGTCTATGTTTTCACTGTAGGGTGTTTTGGGCTGGCTTATGGTACGCAGTGGTCTCAAAGAACCTAGACGACCGGCAGGTCTCCCACCAAATGAGAATTATATTGGTGTTCCGCGTGTGGATCATTATTGGCTTTGTGCCCACTTGGTTTCAGCGATTATTCTATATTCATTACTTCTGTGGGGTAGCTTTAATCATTTAGCTTCCCATTCTTTAGTAAGTGTGACTTTTATGCTTATCTTTTAAAGTCATATGTTAAGTAGTAATTTAAGAGTATGTTTGCCAATTTTAACTAGAACTCCTCGTAATACTTGAACATCAAAAAGGTTTGACTTTAGTTTTTAACCAACCGAGGCTCGATAATAATGATTCTAAGATAGGTTAGGTTTCGTTTTTAATATAATTATGATTGTTGTGTAAAAGTAGGAACTTTTGCATTTCATGTATGCATTTCTGATAAGGGTTATAAATCAGTGTCAGATGGTTCTACTTATCAAATATAAATCTAAACCTATCTCTTAGTATGAATCAAATAAAAAAATAGCGGATAATCGTTTTATTTGGAGAAATAATGACGTATTTCTGTCACCTTACTTCCACTGAAAGCAAAGAAAACGAGTAGCTATGTTATATACATATTTTAACATAATAGAGTTACCAAAGTGTGTCATTCAACTTCAAACTCTAATGAATTTCCTATAGATATTTTTAAGAATCACATGCATCTAAGCTTGATTTTAATACATGTTAGTGCGCGAAAGTCAAGTATCACCTTATTTGTTTTAGTATTCAGGTAAATCCTTTCAAACCTTTTGTAGAAAGGACGCTCGGGGATTTGTGCGCACTAAATATTTCAGGTTAACATGTTTTCAAGATTGAAGACTGCCACAATCATTTGTATTTAATTAAACCACACACATTATTTTCTTAAATGTACCGACACTTCTACCTTGCTCCAGAAGTTGCCACCCCTACAAAAGTACTTACATTGCAGCTATTGTTTGATTGGGACTCTCGTCTGCACTACATTATTTGAAACTGATCATACATACCCCACAGTGATTAAACCTTAAAGATTACTTTTCTGTGAAATGTGGATTTTGAAATAGTTAATGGTGTGATTTGCAATCAACCACTCCCAAAATAAAACTCAACAGTGAACCGAATTCGTTTTACGACAATTACACCTAAACACCATAGCTCAAAACTAATCAGAAATGTTTTGTTATGTATATTAAAACAGGAATACAAGGAATTAATTCAATGAATGGTTGTTCATAATTGTTTTACACAATGAGGCAACCTTTAAAAGCTGGGAAATATTAAAATTTTCTTGTCATTAATTTATAATAATCGTCAAACTAATATCGTTAAGTTAGTAGATTAGGTTTGAATACTAAAAGTTAGAGAAAAGTTTAACCGTATATTTGTTTAAAATAAGGGATTTATTATATCATAACGTTTATTGTGTAACATAACACAATACATTTCAAGGCTATCTCATTAGTTTTAAACTTATACATTATTGGTCAGTCAATTGAGTCAGGTACAGTACGCCCTGATTTAACTTTCAAGGTGATTCTTTTTTATGACAGTTTGCAATCGAATTTAGCATCCGATTTCGCTAATTATAAAAAGCAAAGCTAAATTAATAGTTCACTTCTGAGTTTTAATACAAGTGCTTAAGTATTATTCAAATGCCCTGGTATGGCCAAGAGTGGGGTGGGTTCGCCCTCCCTCTCGAAATACTCTCACACGGCCACGCGTATACAGCCTCTGCCAGGGAAGTCCTACTCACTGCCTTCTCGTGGCGGGGGTGTTGTTTACGAAAATGAGAGGACGAAAAGCGGATGTCCGGCGCTATAACCGGATCCCAATTCAATGGTGCACATGGGCTCCAGTATCTTGCGGGAACAAGTGGCGTATGAACCAATTTTTGGTCACCGGCTTCCATGGGACTGCATCTCCTCACGATGCTCCACTGCCTTGTGGACTAGACCTCTAGGTCAAAGGCTCGGGGTGTGGCCCCCTAAGAAAACCACCTGCTTCGGTCTGGGCACCCGGGCAGTATCCCAGCCTACGCACTAAAACATGATGAACTATTTACTTATGGAAAATACTCTTTTCGCTCCGATTTACATTGAAATGACTCGCACCCCTATTATTATTATTATTATTATTATTATTATTATTATTATTATTATTATTATTATTATTATTATTTACCATGTCATCTATTCACTCTCTTTTATTTCCACTCTGTCCATCCTTATTTTTCGACTTATACAACAGCTCGCCTATGGTGAAAATTCGGCTGTATCTAAACGCTCTCGAGTCACTGCCTGGTTGGAAATTGTATGTTGCCACCGAATACGAGTACTGAAGCAGTTTTTCTGAAACCACGTACATCATTCAAACTGGCTGCCTTCAACGTTCGCACACTTATGCAGTTCGGACAACAGATAGGGCTGGCTATGTCTTTGGAAAGTCTTAATATTGATGTGTGTTGTTTATCCGAGACCCGTATTCAAGACTCTGGTGAAGTACTACAAATTCGCTCTCCATCTGTCACTTCAAAAAGCTTGTTTTATGTGCGTTTATCCGGGGACCCTGTGGCATCTTCGTCTGGTCTTGCTGGCGTTGGTGTCACACTAAGCGCTAGAGCTGAGGCAGCACTAATCGACTGGATCCCCATCAACAGTCGGTTATGTGCCGTTAGATTAGAAAGTTCCATCAAAGTGAGAAGAAATCGGCGTGAGAAACGACGTCTTTTCGTCATCTCCGCCTATGCCCCGACAGATTGCAGCCCGGATGCGATCAAGGATGAGTTCTACCACCAGTTAACTGTTCTTCTCCAGAAAGTGCGTTCGACAGATATTGTAGTACTAGCCGGAGACTTGAATGCTCAGGTCGGGCGTCTAGGTACAGAAGAGAGTCGTTTAGGTGGCCGATGGGGACTCGTTGGTCGCAGGACAGATAACGGGGAACGTCTACTGCAACTATGCACAGACCACAACCTGTTTCTGGCTAGCACTAACATTCGGCACAGTCATCGCCGATGTGCCACCTGGCGTCCCCCTTCTGCATCTCAAGCCTGGACTCAGATTGATCACATCGCGATCAGCTACCGCTGGCGCGGTTGTGTACAAGACTGCCGCTCCTTTTGGAGTACCTATCTGGAATCTGATCATGCTCTGGTCTGCGCCAATCTTACCTTACTTTACAGTGGACAACGAAGTGACTGCTACCAAAGGATTGATGTTAGCAAGCTGGCTGCAACTTCTGTTGCTAGTAAGTACCGAACCGAGCTAGCTTCTAGGCTAGCTATCATTACACCGAAAAGTACAGATGAGCATTGGTTGCAATTGCATGACGCCATGAAAATGGCGGGTACAGTCAGTTGTGGGTTCACGAAACGTCCCGCTTATAAGCACTTGGTTTCTTCTGGTTCCTTACAACTGATTGAAGCCCGTCGGTCTACTCCGGGTGACCGTGAGTTTGACCACAAACGAAGGATTTTATGTGCTGAAATTGGGCAAAGCTTGCGTAAGGACCGAGAAACCTGGTGGTCGTAGCGCGCTAATGAGCAGGAAGCAGCAGCTGCATCTGGTAATTACCGGAGGCTCTTCCAACTCATCCGAGCCACTGGCAGCAAGAAGACTGGTGTGAGCGAAACAATCTGCGAAGATGACGGAACGCCAATCACTAACATCCATCGACGTCTTGGACGATGGGCAGAATTCTTTGAAGGGCAGTTCAACTGGCCTGCTGCTCCGGCAACATCGGTCAGACTGTCTTGCCCTCCATGGCCGGTGACGACTGATCCACCAAATGAGGCGGAAGTCCGCAAGGAACTCCAACTCTTGAAACGTTACAAATCACCGGGCCCAGACGACTTACCTCCGGCTCTTTTTAAAGATGGTGGTGACTTTCTGACTAAGGGACTGACGACGTTGTTTACAAAGATCTGGGAACTAGAGAGTGTACCAACGTCATGGAATGAGTCGATAGTTGTCCCTATCTTTAAAAAGGGTTCACGTTGTTCCTGTAACAACTATCGGGGGATAAGTCTACTTCCGATTGCGTCCAAGCTATTGGCTTCCGTCATACTTCGTAGGTTGTTCAGAACCCGAGAAGGATTGACTCGCGAGGAGCAGGCTGGGTTTCGTTCTGGTCGAGGATGTATTGATCATATCTTCACCCTCCGCCAAATGTTAGAACACCGCCATACTTATCAAAGGCCAACAATCGTAGTGTTTCTTGATATCAGGGCTGCCTTCGATTCGTTGGACAGAACTGTTCTCTGAGATTGTCTATTGAAGAAGGGTGTGTCTGAGAAGTTTATTAACATCCTGAAAGCATTATATACAAACACCTCAGGCAGAGTGAGGGCATACAACCACCTTTCTCCACTATTCCATTCGAGCAGTGGGGTTAGGCAGGGTTGCCCAATCTCACCATTCCTCTTCAACTTTGCCATCGATGACATTCTGGAAACAGCTCTGACGGATGTAAGTAATGGTAGTGTGGATCTGTTGCCTGGAGAAAGACTTCTCGACCTTGAGTATGCTGATGATATTGTCTTACTGTGCGAGAATGCCCAAGCTATGCAATCTGCACTTAATCAGTTGGCAATCAGTGTCCGTAGGTATGGTATGTGCTTTGCACCTTCGAAGTGCAAAGTACTTCTACAAGACTGGCAGGATTCTAATCCTGTACTCACTCTGGATGGTGAGCAGATATAAGTGGCCGAGAAGTTCGTGTATCTGGGTAGCTGCATAAGTACTGGTGGTGGTGTGAGTGATGAGATCAATGCACTTATAGTGAAAGCCAGAGCGGCTTATGCCAATCTGGGCCATCTTTGGCGCCTTCGTGATGTTAGTCTGGCTGTAAAAGGTCGGATCTACAACGCGTCGGTGAGAGCAGTTTTGCTCTATGCTTGTGAGACTTGGCCTCTCCGAGTTGAGGATGTTAGACGTCTCTCTGTGTTCGATTATCGCTGTCTCCGAAGGATTAACAGTAGCCCCCAAATGCCCTGGTACGGCCGAGAGTGGGGAGAGTCCGCTCTCCCTCTCGAAATACTCTCACACGGCCACGCGTATATAGCCTCTGCCAGGGAAGTCCTACTCACTGCCTTCTCGTGGCGGGGGTGTTGTTTACGAAAATGAGAGGACGAAAAGCGAATGTCCGGCGCTATAACCGGATCCCAATTCAATGGTGCACATGGGCTCCAGTATCTTGCGGGAACAAATGGCGTATGAACCAACTTTTGGTCACCGGCTTCGATGGGACTGCATCTCCTCACGATGCTCCACTGCCTTGTGGATCAGACGTTCAGGTCGAAGGCTCGGGGTGTGGCCCCCTAAGAAAACCACCTGCTTCGGTTTGGGCACCCGGGCAGTATCACAGCCCTCACACAAATCAATTGAGATTTGTGTGGCGCATATGTATTTGGTGCCTCCCTCTCCGAAGGATTGCTAACATCCAGTGGTAACACCATGTTAGTATATGACATGGTGTCGTGGTATGAAAGAAAGCTGCAAAGGGCTGGCTTCTGTTGGTCCTTCACGACTCCCTGGGTGGGGTCCGAGAGATGATGCAACACAGTGGCTAGAGAAGTTATCGGATGTGGTTCAGAATAGAAGCCAGTGGCGATCCTGCCGTAACCTTCTTTTACTTTCTTCATAAAGAGTGGTTGCCTCTTCCTTAAATGTAAGATTTCTTCTGATTGTACTTTTCCGTTTCCCCCATTATTGTTCTCTCTCCTTTTTTTTCTCCTTTCTCTTCAAATTATCATTGTTTTGTGTGGCGCATATATATTTGGTGCCCCCTTGTACCAATATTTATGTGTACAAATAAATAAATAATAATTATTCAAACTGTCGGTTTTTATGAGTATGTCTTAATTTATAAACTCTTTCAACAGGTTAAATCATTCAGCGGCGTCAAACGACTTAAAGCATATGGTCATATGGGTAAAGCTCTAACGTTTGCAACCATAATTTATGGTAAGAAAAAGCTTGCATTTATTTATTTATTTTTCAGTTCACATGTATATTTGGACAGAAATTACTTGCAAATATTTCGTATCTATGGCACAAGAATATTTAATTGTTCAAGAATGTTTATGTATTCAGTTTTAGTCAACAAATAACTTTGTGTGACCGTGTTAAACCTCGCAGTTATTAGTTTTGGAATAGTAGGAGTAAGAGCGAATCAGAAGAAGTTTTGAGTCAGTCAAACGAAAACGTTGCATCACCACATGAATTCACAGACTACCGGTTTGTTTCTGAGCTGTCTTAGGGGGATAAATCTATTTGGTTGTTGTCAGAGAGATAACCATAGTTTATGGCTGATGACCAGATGTGACCTTGGTTCAAAACCACTCAGTGTCAAAAGTGTTCTCTTGGATTGTCTTTTCAAGAAGGGTGCGCCTTAGAAGTGTATTATTCACTATTATTTGTTAAGACATATAAGCATTGGTGTAACGGGGCACCAAATATATGTGTGCCACACAGTAAAAATGAAGTTGTAGAAAGATAGAGGAATGAAAGTGAGTATAATAAAAAAGAAGAAGAACAATCATTAGAGATTAGTGTATCGGAGTGAAATACAAAACGCACTCTCTGTAGATCACTTAACTGGTGGTAGAACTCATTCTTGATCGCATCCGGGCTGCAGTTTGTCAGAGCGTAGGCAGAGACGAAAAGACGCCGTTTTCACACCGATTTCTCACTTCGATGGGGCTTTCTAATCTAACAACACATAACCGACTGTTGATGGAGATCCGATCGATTGGTGCTGCTTCAGCTCTAGCGCTTGTTGTGACACCAACGCCAACGAAAGCAGACGAAGTTTTCACAGGGTCCCTGGATAGACGTGCATGAAACAAGTTTTTCGAGGCAGCAGATAGAGAGCGAATTTGTAGTAGTTTACTAGGGTCTTGGATGCGGGTCGGGTCTCGGATAGACAACAGATGTCGATGTTGAGACTCTCTAGGGACAAAGCCGACCCTATCTGTTGTCCTATCTTTATTGGTTTGTGAACGTTTTGGGAGGTCAGTGAGAGTAACTTCTTCAACTAAAAGTTATTTCTGGTTGTATTTTTCTAACTGATCTGCCTCACTATTATTATTATTATTATTATTATTATTATTATCTCGTTTTCACACACTAATTTCCAATTATTGTTCTTTTTTATTATTCTCACTTTCCTTCCTCTATCCTCCCACTACCTTATTTTTTTTGTGTGGCACACATATATTTGTTACTTCCTTATGCTTTAATGAATAGATAAATGCATTTTTAGAATTGCAAAGTATTCCTCGGAAAAGTCCATAGGGGCTCAGAAAACACTGGGAACCATTTTATTTAGTCAGCGTTGAATAAGTGCTTCCCAGATACATCTAGAAAGTAAAGAGCCAAGCGTTACGTTTCTGATTGGATTTTCACCTCTTTTGCTACCATATTTGCTGTGGTTCCGGAAAATTTCAGAACCATATAATCGTCTGTAGTATTATAAATGTCCTCGTTTTACCGTAAACAAACTGACCTTAAGTTAAAGCTTTTTTTCGCACTTCGCGCCTTTCCTCTTGTTTTCAAGTTATCGTGTCAATTCGGCCTGGAGTTATTAGAAACGTCTAGTAAGTTGGATCGATCACTAATTTAGCAAAACTTATCACAAATCATGAGTAATGATATCCTGCGATTCTAATTCCTTGATTTTCATCATTTTTGCCAGCCATATCTCCTATGTTTAGTCTTTTTGACTGTCATAAATGCTGCTGTTACCCGTAGCTGTTTTGTATAGATCTTATTGATTTTTCATCACTCACTGTGCTGATATGATACATCAACACTTTTATACCAGGTTCTACTTTCATAAGCATTGACCAAAGAGGCTATGAGTTAAGAGGCATAGTCCAATTAGGATACATCCCTTTTTCCTTCTTCAGAGTTAAACTCAAATACATCATCAGACTATTGATAAATTGAATAATAGGCTCTGTTATGTCGTTTACATATTTGAAAAGGTCGAGATTTCCGTTACTATTATTTTACTTTGGGTTGTCAAATAGTGACCTTGTACTTTATTTTTTCACTCAGTACCTAATCTTTTCTATTCCTACTAATATTGTTAGTACTACTGTAGTGAATGAAATCACAAGTGGGAGCAATCGAATGTTTTTGAACATAAAATTACAGAATATCTTAGTAAAATCTGAAAACTATACAGTGAATACTCAATTTGCAAAATGTCAATCAATCGTCTCAAACTTGACTGTTCCGTTCGCAAATATCAGTCAATCGTCTGGGACGTCAATGTTCCTGCGTTTCCATACCAATTGCTTTCTGTTCCCGTTCTTTTTTCCTCGAGCTTCTGTTGCCAGACATTCTATTCCTGACTAGCGTTTATTCTACTTATGTTGATATAAGTAGCATACATCACACTACTATTCTGGGATTTGGATTGATATTGCTAATGTGGTGTGGTAACTTGAATCGATTCGTATTTGTGCCTGGTCTAAGTCTCACATGACTGTATGTCATTTCACAAATATTTTGAAAACTATAAGAAATTATTAATAGTAGTATTGATGACTTAATGTAAGACCTCAAGCATAAACTGATCATCTCTCAAATGAATAAGTTTATGTAACAAGTGATTCATTTTGGTATAGGAACCGTGTAAGCCATGTAAAACAATGACATACACTCAGATTTTATTACTTTTGTAGTGAAATATTCTTGTTTCTGTCAATCTGTTTACTCCTTAATTAATAACGGGGATATGCATTTTAAAGTTACTTCTGACGTTGCTTAAAGTTTTCGCTAGAATGAATGTTCACTACAACAACAGTACATCGCTCACAATGAGGGGAAAGAACTAATCTTCTACAAAAATTTTTGTTAAATATCAGTTAGTTATTATTTTCTGCTTATAATACATATCATCTGAGCAAATAAAATAATCACTTTAATAGCTTGAATTTTAAATAAACAACAGATTAATATGACTAATTATACTTATTGATATAACGGATGGTTTAAAACATTTTACTCTGTTATACGTATATTACAACAATACGTTAATAAGACTAATCACGTTATATCAGAACTAGGATTCACAACCCAGAATAGAGAACCATATTAATAATTACAAGCTGTCACACACAGTGAGTCCGAAGTAGAAATCAATGATAAGAAGGAAAATCACATATTTAATAGTCCGTAGGATGTAGCTGTTTCGTTACGCTTAACAACCAATCATACTTTACTTTCATTACCACACATCACTTATCAGGGTTGATCATCAAGTGAACTCTATGCTTATCTGGTGTATATGCATTGCCAACATTTAAAATTCTATTCTTCAAAGAAACTATCACCTCTTTTAACTCCGAAAAGGAAATATACACCGGAATTTTATTATGATTTTAAAGATTGGATATGTTCTTTTTTGAAACATTGTCTATTGTCATTGGGATTTCCAGTTCAGTTTTTGATATTAGTTATGTTGTTATTCTATATTTTCGTTTTTCTGTACACATTTGATTGGTTCTTTGTTGAATCGGTGGTAAATTTGTTGTTTCTTTCTTGTTTACTACTGTTCAGGTGCTTTTGTCGCTGGTCTTGATGCAGGATTAATCTATAATTCATGGCCAAAAATGGCTGATAAGTGGATTCCTGATGATTTAATCGTATCTCGTTATGGTTCTACTGTGAGAAACCTTTTGGACAATCCAACTACAGTTCAATTTATTCATCGAATGCTAGCTTATACAACAGTTTTAACCACGGGATTATTATGGGCAAATGTCATGCGTTTAGGTGTAGCATGTACAGGACCACGCATTAGGAATGCTGCACACTTGGTTTTGGGTGCTGTGTTAGGACAATCATTACTTGGCATAACAACTTTATTATGTTATGTACCAGTTTCATTGGGATCATTGCATCAATGCGGTGGTGTTGTTTTACTTTCATCCTTACTCTGGTTTACACATTGTTTACGTGCTGTTCCAAAATAAATAGTTGCTAACACTTTTTTATATAAAATAAGCGCAACTTTTTTTCTATCATCTCATTCATTTTCTAGAGGTTCCATTATAACCATTGTTAATATAATGCACAAAGTATTCAAATTGCTTCAGAATATGTTAACTAAAAAAACTAATTATCTTCACTTCCAAATATCTTTTTAGAGGGACTAAGGGATTAATCTTATGGTTAAAATACAGGATTTTGATATCCGTAAAATACTATTTTAATGGGAGGCATCGTTCTTGTGACTAGAATTGTACTAAAATTGTATTGATATTAACGTGAAAACACCAAAAAAATGATAACAAGTGTTCGGTTCTTATACGATGGTATCGTAGCGTACGCTTTGACTACAAAGAAGAACAGAATTTGGAGGAAATAGTTATTCATTTGTTGCTTATTAGTATATATATGTAGTCAAATTTTAACAACTGGGTTACACGTTAGAATCCTACCCTACTTACCGAGTGTTCAAATAACTTTTTAACATATAATTAACTCGGATATCAGTGTGATTTGCCCCCACTCTATGAATCCGCATACAGTTGGGTTTTTTTTTATAAGTGAGAAAATATCAATACAAATATATAGGAAGCTAATATCGTGAACATAAATAATTCCAAATGACCGAATGTGGAATTAAAATGAGGGTGAAGATTTCAAATGTCTTGGAATCAACCTTATGCTGTTTCTATTCCGGGTTTGGCTATAGAGGAGCACGGATACCTACCACCTGTACTTATCTGATATTGGAATATCAACTGACATGGAGTCATTTATGTATATATCCCATCACTTGATTGTGTATGTTGAACTCTCCTCCATACTTACACACAGTTTGGTAAACTCAGCGATATATAACTCACTTCTACAGTATTGAAGCGTACATGGAAACATGGATTTAATCCCCAGTGACGACTAGCTTGTCTATAGTGTCACATTATTGACTTTGCCGTCTCATTCTCAGAGTATTTTTGACTTTATGCGGTGCCACATTGTCAAATCTTTTCTTCAGAGCGAAATGGAGAAAGAATTTAGATGTCATGTGACTTTTTATTGATTTACAGGCTGTAAAGGGTATTTCACACTATACATGCGTTGAACAGACACCTTACTAAACTCTGTTTGTTCTGTAATGGTCAAAATCTGTAAGGTCTTATGTACTGTTCTGCTCTTAAGCATATCACCTACAACCTGGTCGTTTTCATCAAACTGTTACGTCGACTCTAAAAGTGTATACAACAAGACCGTTATTTATCCTTTTTTGAAGTTAGCTTGGTGTCTTCATACATCAATAAATATGATTGAACCAAACCACATCAATATGCTTATTGTCCATTACAAATATGTAAACTTATTTTCGATGGCGAAAAATATAACTTACGTCATTGGTTAGACTTTAAGAATCGGTTAAGTGTGTTAGTGAAGAGATTAATGAACAAATCATTTCCGGCTCACTTCAGTTTAGGACTATACGAAGTCCACATATGACTTTGCAGGAACAAACGACTTTTAGGCCTCGAAGCCATTGAGCTACTTAGTCAAAATTCAGTTCACACATGGATTCCCTGTCAATTTGTATTACAGCTTGACTACCAACCAAGACTATTATAAACCAATGGCGACTCATCGAAGTTTGAAAATACGAAACATTAGGTTTCGATCCAGTTGCTAAATGGTAATCTACTAACCTCGAAACATGTAAGTTCGGTTCAACATAGGTTTGCCAGTGTACTTTTCCGTGTAGTACATAACAGCTGTCTATAGATCCCTAGTTGGTGGTGGTTCTCCAAGTACCTCTAAATGTATACAACAGTGTTTGGAAAAGCTACATAAGTTATTTACTGTCACAAGTTACTTCAGTACCAATTGCTACCATTAAGACATCGACTTATCCGTTCTGAACTTCTACTTGACATGATATACTAAAGCATTTTTGATGTGGATGAACGATAAATGTGCATGGTTAATCAAGATTCAACTTCATTTTTTGTCATGGGAAATAATTTAACTATGAGGTAAAACTTTCGAAGGTTTTATTTAAATATATATTTATTTTCGTATTATCTTAGTTCCAAGCTTTTATTGCGTATTGGTCGGTGCTAGGACATGACACTTCTTAGGTTGAGGTACATGCCACTAACGGAAAAATGTGGCTTCATTCTCGAGGGAAAATTTTCTCCATACGTTAGCTTAGGCAAACGGGTAGTATTATTATATCATATCCATATTTCAGGTACTTAAATATTTTGTGACTGAAATAAAAACAGGTTGGAGAAATTAGTTCAGAGTATGTATTCAAAATAAGATGTCACAAATCTACTTGGTATAAGGCAATGTAAGAAAGTGTAGCTATATGAAACAAATGAGATCATGAACTAACAATTATGTGTCAATGTACTCATTGGTACTCATTTTGTAGATAATGGACATCTACAATAGACAGTATTTCGTTCTAGTTCAAGACTCATGAACAAGAGGCATCTACTACACTTGGAATCCAATCCGGATCATCCATACCTCTGGAGTACCTCGACATTACAGAGTAAATGAATCGGTATCTACTATTTCCTGGAATATCAAAGTCGTATAACTGTTGAGATAATCATAATAAGGCTAGTAAGGATGACCAAACAAATTTAAATAAACTAATACAGGCCATACCACTATTTATAAAAAAGTTGTGGTAACAAACTTATTTTCGAAGCCCCCGTCGAAAACGACCAAACTATAGAGCTAGATAAGACCTAAAACAGCGTCGTGGTGATAGCTGTCGATCAGTTAATTTTCCTTTGAGAGTGACAAAGTAGGAAAACACCTGGTCGAAGCATTCGATAAAAGAAAATATTTAACATCTCTTTGGTGTCGACTGTCGAATTAATAACATAAAAAATTAGGGCCATCATTGAAAATCCGTCGTATTTGTATTTGATTGTTCTAGAAGTCACTGAATACTTACTGTCACTCTGATTTCACTGACGAATTTAATTCACAGCCACGCTCTGTTGTTTCAGTTGTATAGACTTAAGCTGTTCAGTAGTTGGAATTCAAACATTTGTCAGCATGTAGCTGTAATAGGAATGAGAGTAATCGTATGGCTGAAAATCTGACTAAGAATCAATGTGAATGAAACTCATAAAAGCCGGTATATTAAGACAGTTTTGACCTGGTTTGGGTATGGGAATACGATTCATCCACTAGATTTTTCTTTCTTGAGTCCTCTCATGTAGGTTCGTGGGTTTTATCCAAGAATGGAAGAATCATATTGCTGTCAAAATACATGGGGAACAGATCTCTTCCTATCCTCGGAAATAGACAAATCAAAGAATAGATAAGGTGATTTGGAAGTTTTCTTCATTTACACTAAATTTTCAACATTGTTATGTCTCGTGTATGACGATCTACCCGTTTTTTTTCCAGTTTACAAATGCTATAAAAACACCGATTTATTAAATCTTTTCCGACATGATTTAATAAAATCACTCCAAGTTAGTTTATTTAAATTCATTAAAAAATAATCTATTTGTAAAGGAACAATATCATTTAGGACTATCAATGAAGCTTACATTTTTACGATTGGCTAACGTTGTTATTTGTCCCCTGCCATTGAACCCAATAAGATATTTTATCGATTCTCTATTAACCAATCATTTACAAGGTCAAAGAATAAATCCTAGTCATTGAATTTTTATTGTTTAAGTATTTACAAAATGTCTCTAGTCTTCGGAACTTGTGCTAAATCAGGAAATGAAAATATTAATGCACGTTTCTCCAAGGTATATTTTTTATTGTGACTTCATTCGAATTAACTACTCTGTTAAAGACATATGAACAAATTGAATTGTTACTGTCTCAAGCAAAACCTCAACCAATATCATTATGTGCAAAGGCTGCTGCTATCGAAGTAATACATTGATTTGTTTTCCATTTTACTATTTCTTTCTTTCATTAAAGGCTTATGATCACTTAAGATGTCATCATTATATTCCTGAAGCGGAACAGTTAGTTAATTTATTAGCTAGACCACATATTAAAGTAAGTTATTTACAGAGATAGAGAGAGGGATTCAAATTGTTCTAGTCGTTATTACTTTGTCATGATGGAATAGCGAATAAAGCTTATGGACCAGTTCTACCACAGATATCATCAGAAGTAGATGAAGATGATATAAGCGTGAAGGTAAACTTCATTTTTAAAAATCATATAATCTCATTTCCTATTAATGACTAACAAAAGATTGTAAATTTAATCAAGAATCATGAACCACTTGGAGTTACAATTAAAATTAATGAAAGAAATGGAGCTGTTCTAGTTGCACGTGTTATGCACGGTGGAGCTGCTGATCGTACAGGTAAAAAAGTAAATTCGTTAAAATGAACTATACTATTTATCTAAATGTGGAATATTAGGATTGTTCACAGAATTCTTTATTATTTGGTTCATAATATGAAGGTTTTAATGATGTTATTTTCATAGATCTTATATTTTTAGTAGTGGAGAATTTTCAAAGTATAAATCACAGCAGTCAATGGATGAGGGTTGCCCAATATTGTAAATCGATTGAGGTTAAACATTAACACAGTTGAATCCTGGCTCAGTGGTTCAGAAGTTAAGCGTTCGCGCGCGATGCTGAAGGTCTCTGATTCAATTCCAGGATGAAAGATCACAGATGCACAATGCTGATTAGTCCCGTAATTGGACGAAACGGCTGTCCATTTCCCCCAGGTTTCCAGTGGTGGTATAGCTTAGATCAGTCTGTGATTTAAAACTCTGAAGATGTTAGATTATTTATTTACTTTAATATATCTAGAACGTCACCGCTAGATAGACTGACAAAAATTCAGTAAGGTTATAAAAGGTATACCATTTTTGAGCGATCTTTAAGCTGATTAATGAGAATTTATTTATATATTTGAACACATAGATATTGGTACAAGGAGGCACCAAACACATATGCGCCACAAAAATCCCTTTTGATTTGTGTAAGGGCTGTGATACTGCTCGGGTGCCCAAACCGAAGCAGGTGGTTTTCCTAGGGGACCACACCCGGAGCCTTCGACCTAAAGGTCTGATCCACAAGGCAGTGGAGCA